TTTAAAAGCATGCAATAATTTATCTCTAATAGCTAAAAGATTAGGATGGGGGCCAGTTCTAGCAACTTCACCTTTTATAGTTGACCAAACTCTCTTGATCGGTTGAAGTTCGCAATGGTAAGGCGGAGTAAAAAACAATTTATGATTATATTTTGCAGTTATTTGAACGCACATAAAAGGAACCTTATTTTTGTGTAATTTTATTAATTCATAAAGTTCCGCCTTGTTAGAATTTAACAGAGGTACGTATAACTTTAACAATATTGTTATTAAGTTCTTTTTTGGTCTTCCATATATTTTTTGCAGTAACTGTTCATCATTTTTATCTTTATTGTACTCGGAAATTACCTGCGCAACTGTTGCCTTTCTAATTCCAAGGGCCGTAGCAATCTCCTTACGTAGTGGTAAGTCTTAATGCTTCTTCTTACTCTGTCAGATATCAAAAAAGTATTGATAGATACGAATGACCATCTTTTTTTCATTACTAGTCAGGTAACTTTGGTCTCGTTTTAAGTTGTCTATTTGAAAAGAAAGGCGGTTAAATTTTTATTTTATTTTAAAGTTTAGAATCATCCTTACCTTATCTGTAATTTATATAATCATATATTCAGCTTGTGAAGTTTTATGTAACATAAGAAAATCAGATGATGATCTTCATATATTAATCTTTTTGCACTGGACTATATTAAATTTTTAATTTTTTAATTTTAAAATAATTTATTATCTAATAATTACAAAAATATAAAATTTAGTTTATTAGATTCATCATATTAAAACCTATTAAATGGTAGTATTTTTATATTTTTAAAATTGATAGATAGCAAGATATATAAGTTTAAAATTTTAATTTTTTTATAATAATTTATTATTTATTTATTTTAAAAAATTACTAATTAATTACATTTTTATTTAAAATACATCATAAAATTTTATAAAAATATTAATTTTTTTTAATAATATATTTTAATATATTTAAAAATAATTAAAAAAAATTGTAATTAAAAATAAAATTGCCTACAAATTTTTATTCATATTTTTAGTAAACATATGAAACTTAATGATTTCTTATAAATAAAAAACCCTTAAACATAAATTTAAAATAGGTCTTTCATAAGTTAGTTTTTCTTTACTCTCTTTATAATAAACTAAAGTGAATATTATTTTATTAGAAAAATTGAATTCTTTCAATTTTTATTTTAATGAACTTTTACCTAAAAAACTCATTACTCTTTACAATTAAAATGAAAAATAAGTTTTTTAGAAATGTAAATCTGATAACTAAGTTTTTAAAGTTCTTACAGACTGTATAAATATATTAAAATCTAGATAAGTATTATTAAAAGTATTTACAATTTTAAAACTTATTATATTAGCACACAAATAAGTGAGTAGACTAAGGTGATACCACTTTTTAGATAAAACTTTTAAATGTCTTTAACAATTATTATTTTAAATTTTTAGTTTTTTTTTAATTAAGCTGATCACTGATATAATATTTTTAGTGAAAATTTAATAATTTTACATAGTTCATTTACATTTTATGTTTTATTATTTTACAATGAGTTAACAACTTTATCACTAGTCGAACTAGTCCAAATCGGCTAGAAATTGGAAGGTTGAATCTGGATCGAATCATAGCCTTAAGTTGGCTGATTTTTTAATAAATTCCACTATAGTCGATTGGTACAGTTCAGTCACCCTTCAACTAACTTTAGACTCTGTAAATCGGATAATAATCAGAACATACCAGATGCTATCTTTAGGAAAACAATTGATAATAACTTTCGTTAAACACCAGTCAGAAATAGCTAGTAGAATTTACCTGAATTTTGTAAACATACCAGCCAAAAATAACTAATAGAATTCACCTGAATTTCGATCTTATTTCGTTATATCAAATTTTAAGTATTCAATTATAATTTATATAGTTTTAAGCATTTATTTCATTTGAATTTTATTAATTATATAAAATTACATAAATCATAATTAGAAAAGAATATAAATAAATTCTAATAAGAAAAAAAAGAAAAATCAATACAAAAAAAAAGCATTAAATTTTGTATCAAAATATTGTAATACTTACCATGAAATAAATATCATTCACTAAACTCTCCTGCTTCCTCATCTGTTTCATATAAGAGAATATCGTCAATGTTATTCTTTAGTTTACCTAAAGAATAAGAAGAATATATTCTTTATATTGTGTCTCTTATTATGCTGATAGTTGATGATTCACCAAATCGATATTCATTCTCAATGGCAAAATTAAGCAAAGATTTATAATCACCAAGTGGTTGAATTTCACGTTCAACAAGCTATTAAATTTCTTGTTATTCGTCAAGTCATTGAATTTTATGCTCATTAGGTCGTTGAATTTCTTATTCGTCAAGTCATTAAATTTTATATTTACCAGGCCGTTGAATTTCTCATCGTTCGTCAAGTCTTTGAATTTTATGTTCTTTAGAAATTTGTCAATTTTCATCGATTATACTTTTTTTTAAAAAAAAAATAAGAAAAAAACTTTAATTTCAAATATTTTTTATAATAATACCTTTTACAGGTCTAACTTGGTATATTTTTTGGCAATAATTGATCTTTCTGAAAGCAATTATCATCGTAAAGCTAAGCTCTTGACAATTGTGAAGATTGTTAAGATAATACATAATTTTCAAGAATCTTACATAAGAGTCTTTTTAACTAAATTTATTATCAATAAAAAATTAAAATTTAAAATAAATAAATATATGGATAGGTTAATATATCGAACCTCGTTTGACCTCCAGGTATAATCATATACAACTACTTGACGATTTTCATCATCATCTGGATCAGTTTCTGATTGCTCAGAAGAATGAACAGCTGTATTTTGAAGCAATTTTATTATTTTTTCTCGGTCATATTTTAAAACTTGGATGCCTCTTTCATTAAATAAAGTTCTAACGCCTCTTATTTACCTATCTCTTTTCTATTATATAAAAATATAAAAAACAAATAAAACTTTATCATATCTCATTTCAAATTCTGACGGTAATGTTTTCAATATTTCTTTCATCTCAGCCTATCATAAAAGAAATTATATATCAATAAATTTTAAGAATTGTTAGTAAAATTGAATTCTACAAACTCTTGCTACTTCAATATCTGCTTCAGCTTTTTGGATTTCTACTTGTGAATTTTTGTTTTTTCTCTTCAGTTTTAGTGTAGACTTCATCTTTTTTTTTGGTCGAGAAGTCGCTTCTTCTTCAGCGTTCGACATAGCATCTTCATCTGTTATAATAAGTGTCAAATGTGATATTTGACAGAATGGTGATTGATAATCCTACTTAGATTGTTTAAGATCCTCTCTCAATTTATCATTAATTCTTCCAAGTTCTTTATTTACAAAAATCAACGTATTATTCACTGACTTTAATCGGGACATATCTTAATCTTTTTAACTTGTACTAAAAAACTATCATGTCAGTTCTGCAAGAACTAAACTTATGCTTTTCATTAGTGGATTTCTCCTCTTAATTTCTCATTCTCTAGATTAGTTCAGTTTATATAAAAAGAAGATATATTAGTAGGAAATCAGCATAAAAAATAAAAAAATGATATTTATATCATTAGATTGGAATGGTAATACAGCATAATACCTTCAAATAGATCCATAGTTATGCTGGAGTCGACTATTGATACAGGTAATACAAGTTCATTATCTTGATCATTGTTTATTTCATAATTCAGCATTTGAAGATTAGAAACTCTTTCTTGAAGGTTTCAGATAGTTTCTGTCATTCTTGATCGGTTATCTAAATTATTACCTGTTTTTTGATATTAAAAAGAAGAAGGTTTCACTTCTGGAGTTGTTGCTTTACGTTGACATTGAGATTCCACTTCTATAAGAATAGGAATTACTGTTTGACGTTAACATTAAAGAGAAGGTTTCACTTCTAGAAGAATAGTAGTTGCTGTTTGACGTTGACGTTGGAGAGAAGAAGGTTCCACTTCTAGAAGAATAGTAGTTGCTGCTTGATGTTAATATTGAAGAGAAGAAGGTTCCACTTCCAGAATAATAGTAGTTGCTGCTTGACATTGATGTTTAAGAGAAGAAGGTTCCACTTCTAGAAGAATAGGAGTTGCTGTTTGACGTTAGTGCTGTAACGGTTCTATATGTATATTTATTTGTATATTCTTTTGTTGTTTTTTTTATCTTTACAAGTCATTATAGATTATTTCTGTGTTGTTTTCATATTTCGTTATAAATTTTATAGAGGAAAGAGAGAGGAAAAGACTGCTTTTTATGAAATTTTATAATCACTTAAATAAACTTTTGTTACTACTTAAACTTTCGTGATCACTTAAACTTTTGAATCATTTAAATTATTTAAATGAACTTTTAAAATTATTTTAATTAATAATGATTTAATTAGACTTTTGATCATTTTTAAATTTTAAATAAAATTTCATAATCATTTAAATAAACTTTCATAATCATTAAATAGAATTTCGATCATTTTAAGATTTATACTAAATTGTATCATTTTTTAATTGATTTTATGTAATATAAACAGATGAATTTTTATTATTTTCCAATATTATATAAAAAATGCCCAAAATCAGAACAAAATCTAATACAAGTAATGATAATTTGCAAACTGACTCAAAACATAGGAAAAGGACGAAAGTTATATGTGATTGCATACAATGTAATAGTGTATTAGTCAATAAACACACCAAGAAAAGACATGAATACCTTGCAGAAAATAACCTGATAGAATATCAAATATCACTATTATCAATAATACATTTACCTGACGATTCATCTAATATATAAGAAGGTTTGATTCAAAATATTTGTGAAGAATTGAACGATATGTAATAGGAATCAAATATTATAATTAGACAATAAACAGAATATCAGGAAGAGAATCAGCAAATTTCTGATATAGATATCGAACCTATTTTATCTCACAAACGAGTAAGACATGCAAATCGTTTTAGACTAATTATAAAGCCACAATCTGAATCTGATAATTCTGATAATAGTTTCAATAGTAGTTCAAATGATAATTTTGATGATGGCTCTGATTTTGAAGATTCAGAAATAAATGAAAGTGGAATTTCGTCAGATGATATGTTAGATAAAAATAATGATTTTGCCAAACATTCGAAGATTATTCAACTCCTTCATTTACACTATATCAAGAATCAAATGACGCTCAATCAAAAAACTTTGATGGATTTTTATGGATATTAGTATAAATAATGATATTCTATATAAGTTTAACTTATCAAAGACAGCTACAAAATTGCTCATAAAATTTATGAAAATTATATTAGAAGAATTCAGTGATTCTGAATTTAAATCATTTCCTAATTCACTTTATCTAGTGAAAAAGACACTTGGTTTACAAGATAGATTCCATAAATTTGTGGTTTATCCAAAATGCCATAAGTTATATAATAAACAAAAAGTTACCGAATTTTAAGAAAATAATACCTTATCTATTATGAAATGCAATCATGTTGAATTTCTGAATTTGCAAAAATGTAGATTGAAATCATGCGAAACAGTTCTATCTAGAAAAACAAAATCATTGGACGGTCAATTCATAATTAGTCTAGAACTAATTTATCCATTTGTTGAGATTCGCAAATAACTGAAAATATTATATCAACGGTCCAGCTTTAAAAGTTCACTTCGACACTGAACGAATAGATCAAGTTTTGATAGTATATTAATGGATATATACAATAGCCAAGTATGAAAGACGTTAAAGAGATAACAGATGAAAATTTGCTTAACTTTTTCTGACTGGAAGTGGCAGATTCGCATCTTAGACTTATGCTGAACCTTGATTGATTTCAGTCATATGATGAAATATCATATAGCACTAGCATTTTGTACGCAGTAATATGTAACTTGCTGAGAGATATTTGATTTCAATGAGAAAACTTACTTATTCTTGCCCTGTTACCCAGATCAAATGAAGTAAGTTTACACAAAATTAATCACTATTTAGCACCTCTTATCAATGAATTAAACTCATTTTGGACTGGAGTCACACTAGATCACACATTCGAGCATCAAGATGGAAGAAACATTTGTGCTGCTCTGATCATTGTTTCATATGATATTCCTGCCACAAGAAAGATATGTGGTCATGTTTCGGCACTTGCTTTATGTCATCAGTATAAAAAATGCGCTAATTATGAGAATCGTCAATTAAATTTTGCTGGGATTGATGACATAGAAGAATGGTTTATTAGTCAAAATTCAGACAAATATCGTCAAGATGCAATTGGGTGACGACGATGTAATTCAGAGGCAGCAAGAAAATGATTTGTTAAACAAACTGACGTTAGATGATCTGAATTACTACGCCTGCCATATTTCAACCTAATTCATTTTATTATAGTTGATCCAATATACTGCTTATTCCTCAGTATTGCAAAATGAATAGTAAAACGAATTTATGTTGACGGAGGTGTTCTAACAGCAAACATATTAAAAAATATTCAGTATAAGATGAACAAATTCCAAGTACTATCTGATATAAGCTGAATTCTGGGAAAAATCAATAGTGGTGAAGGTTTTTCAAATTTCACAGTAGACCAATGATAGATATTCTTCTCTATTTATGCTACAGTGTTGCTTTGTGAGTACCTTTCTGATATAGACAAAAAGATTCTTACGTATTTTGTAAGAATTTGTTCAATTTTAGTGAAATGAATTATGGAAACTAATGACCTGAATAAAGTTCACCAAAAGTTAATTGAGGTTGTAAAATTGATTGAAATGCATTACGGTTGAGATAAGATTACGCTAAACCTTCACCTTTCACTTTATTTGTATGAATGTTTGCTCGATTATGGATCACTTTATTCCTTCTGGTGCTTTTCTTTTGAGCACATGAATGGTATCTTAGGTAAGTAAAATTTAAATTTATGATTAATGTATATTATATCTGATATTTTAATTATTCATCTTTTCAGGTTCTTTACTGAACTGTCATTGATGAATAGAACCTGAAATTATGCGTCAATTAGCATTTGAC